TCCCTCCTTCCCTCCCAAAAGTTCTGTGTGTGTGTGTGTGTGTGTGTGTGTGTGTGTGTGTGTGTGTGTGTGTGTGTGTGTGTATTTGGTGGTGGGTGGGGGAGGGGGGAACTGTTACAGGATGGTAGGATTAGGCCATTCATACCTTTATATTAGTGGAGAACTAACGCTACTTTTCAAGATGCTTAGTTCCCTCTGAACAACTTCGCCGTCCACAAACTCAGAGGACTCTAGGTAGGTGGCTTGAGCCTGCTGGGCCTTAGTTTCCTCATTGAAGGCCTGCAAGGCTTCAGGCTAGGGGTGATTCAGGCAAGGGGCCTGGGAAGTACCTGATGCCTCCCGGCTGGGCTTCTGCACTTGCTCAATAACCCAGAGACACACGATCTTTACACACCCTTTATATTTTTATTGAGGAGAAAGCTTTAGCGTACAGAATAACTTCTTATCTTCACAACACAGTAATGCAACAAGAACACAGTAACACATTCGTTTCAAACGATGTCTTCCCGGGTCTCTGGAAATTCTTGGACTGCCTTCAGACCCCGGCATGCATCCCCCACCCCCACCCCCACCCCACTTCTTTCAACCCAAGAAAGTTTCCCAGAGCCCACAGTCCTTCTTACAGCTCTTGTGGCTGTTACATCACAATACTGAAGATCTGGGAAAGGGGGGAAGAGGGTCAAAGGGAAGCCCCAGCCCCTTTGCCACCAGAGGGCCAGAAACCAGCTCACTGCTCATCTGCTCTTTCCCTGGCTGAGGCTCCACGGGCTCAGGATGAGAAGCACCATGGCCACAGGCAGGGCCTGTGCTAAGGGGTCCCTGGAGGCAGGGGTGCGAGGCACCTTGCCTCTGCACTTCTCCGGCAGGGACGTGGGCAGCCAGCGTGTTGACCATCAGCAAACAGGCTCCGTCGCCTCAGAGAATAGCGCTTCCCCTTCTGGAACTCTCTCCTGAGGAAACAGCTGAAAAACAAACAACAGGGTTATTTCCTCCCGCACTGGTAGGGATGGGGGCAACCAGGCAATCAACCTGTCTGACAAATTAGGAGACTGTTCAATCATTTATTTGGTATGCGTGACTGCAGAGGGGGCAGCCATTTTAAATCCTGCTGATCAGGATCTTGCAGGATGATCTCAGCTCTGAAGAGACATGGCGAGAACAGCCGAGAAAGAAAGGCAGCAAACTGTTAACAGTGTGGGCATCTGTGCGGTGGGATTCTGAATGTCTGTGGGGTGGGTTGGCCCTTACAGTCTTCTCTTTGCCAAATGTTTAGAATGATTAGGTATTACTTTTCTCTTTGGAGGAGGGGCAGTAGCCTTTTTAGAAGGGAGCAACAGGTTAAAGGCCTGGCTCCAGCAATTCCCCAGGCTGGAGAAATGTGTGTGTGAGCAGCGAAAGGGCTTCTTACCTCCCATCGATGAATAGAGACCTCACCAGAAACCAGCGGAGGACTGGGTTCCTCCTCTTCCTCCAGCTCCATCCTCTTGCCTCTGGGCTCAGAATCCTAAGGCTGGGCTGAGATTATCTGTCAGACTCCGGTGAGGAGCAGAGGCTTAGTTTACTATGTTTTCCTCTCTCTGGCCACAGACACTTTGGCTGCACTTGCCCAGCTGCTGGGCCCCGTGCAGGAAGCCCAGTATGGAGGACAGTTCAGGCCAGCAGTGGATCTGGCTGGCATTCTGTGGCCAGAGTGACATAGTGTGTACTCCGCTGCCGAAGCAGTGTTTTCTGGACCCCAGGCAAGCAGCAAGTCTCTACAAGGGCCGCTGAGTTAGTACCCAGAAGTCCCAGGAGTTACTACTAGGCAGTCAACCTCTTAAGCCTCACCATATACTCCATGCCCAGCACCAGGCCCTGGCGGGCCCTGCGTGAGATGCCAGTACATCCTGTGAGACCGCAATGGGTACAGTCTGTAGAGAGACCCTTCCTCTCTCCTCTCAGAACTGAGTCCTTTAATTTAGAGTTAAAGAGCAGGCCTCAGACCGCTCTCTCTTTGGAAAAGCCAATTAGGCTTCCTCCAGAACCCCAAGGACAGCAAATCTCTGCCAAGGCCTTTGGCTGGAGACTGCAGTCCAAGGCCTGGCCGGGGGAGGAGACCACCGTCCCTAAGGAAAGAGTCACTCCTCCCAAGGTCACACTGTGATGGTACTGCTGCTTCTCCTCCTCCTCCCCCACCCCATGCCTACCCTTTAGGCAAGATCAAGGAAAGGGGGAGGGCCTGAAACATCGGGCTCTGTCCACTGAGGATGCCCAGGAGGGCAGTGTCAGGAGAGGAGAGGGTCCCACATCTGGCGAGCTCTGAGGCCCTGGGCCAGTCATCTGTGAGAAGGTGGAACCAGCTTGCTCTGTCAGTCAAGAACAGGTCTCAGCCAGGTGGTCCATGGGACACATGGTTTCACATCTTCTCACTGGGCTAGATGCAGGGGCCTCTTTGGGGCCCTTCTGCTGGAGGTGTGACGGGAAGCAAGTGCAGGCTTCCAGGCATGTTTCTTGTAGCATCCCACTCTCTGCCGATTATACCCAGGAAGTGGCCTCAGTGGCTTTAGGAGTTCAGCGGAGCCTGTCCTTTCATTCATTGGGGCAGATCAGTGAGGCATTGGGTGAAGTCCTGGTGAGCCAGTCAGAGGATTAAACTGGAGAACACAGAGTGAATAAACGCAGAAGTGAGGGCTGGGGACAACTAGAGGGGAAATACAAGAGGGTGACCAGTCCATGAATGGGAACAGGCCCAGAAACCTGCTCTCCAGCTCGTGGCAGGACTGAGCAGCATGCACACTGAGAGGACAGCGATTGCCGAGCCCTCCTTTCCCAGGTGGCCTCGGCCAGGCACGTGTCACTCCCTGGTCTCGGTCACAGGATGGTCTGGAGTTCTACAGCTCTTCTTCGGGTTCTGCAGGTCTGGATCTCCCTTAAGTACTGGTCTGTGAATGGGGCAGGTGTGGCAGCGATAGCAGGGGCAGGGGACGCAGTAGAAGGGTGTGTTCCGGGGGGGCCGGCTCGCCCCAGGGCTCACACGCGAATGCGGCCCCGTGCAGCCCGGTGGCCCCCCTGTCTCGGAGTGAGGCGGAAGAGCACAGGGGGCCGTCTACGAATTTGACGTTGCCCCAGGCGACCTGCGCGGCGAATCAGTGGCGGCGAACTGTAGAAGGGCGAATTGGTCCCTGGAAGGCCCTCCAGAAGTGGGACTCGATTCTGGTTCCTCCGTCTGCTGGGCTGTACGATGGGAGGCGACACATCTAGGAAATTTTCATGATAGTAGCCGGAAGTCTGGGACGAAGCGTTGGCATATGTGGGCTCCATCTCCATCAGCTCATCCAGGTCGTCGTCTTGGGTCTCGTCCTCCGTCTCTTGCTCCTGCTCCTGCTCCGGCTCCTGCTCCGGTTCCTGGCGGCCGCTCTCATCTTCCTCTTCTTCCTCCTCCTTATTCTGATCTTCCTCCTCCTTCTTCTCCCTCATCTCCTCCTCTCCTTCCTCCTCTTCCTCCTCCTCCTCTTCTTCCTCCTCCTCCTCGTCCTTCTCACCTTTCTGTTTCAGCTGCTTCTTCCTCATCTCTTCCTCCTTCTTCCTCTTCTCCTCCTCCTCCCTAGTCTCTTGCTGAATAGCTCTCACGCGCCTCCGCTGGTCCTTGTCGTGAAGCCTGCGCCTGCGCGTCTCTTCATCTTCCCCACTGTGGCACTCTTCGCCTTCTTCACCTTCGAGGTTAGGGTCTTCTGCAAAAGGGAAGAAGATATTGCGAACCCCAGGGAGGGGGATCGGCTTGGGGACACGCACTTTTCTTTCTATCTCCACGCATTCAAGAATCAGCTCGTCCAGGTCGGCCATTTCAGTTGACCATAAGAGCTCCTTGCGGAAGAATTCTGAAAGGCCTTTGAGGAATTGGTTCTGAAGGCGGCAGTCATCCCAAGACAAGAATTGAGCCAGGAACTGAAAAGCATCTGCATAGCTGCCCAGGGTACAGTCACCCTGCTTGAGCTTGCGGATGGCCTTTTTGGCCACACTTGGGGGGATGGGGCCACAGAATTCCTTACGGATTTCATCCAGGAAGCGCGGGAAGTTGGCATGCAGGGGGCTTCCCTCCTGGGTGACCGAGACGGCCCAGTCTTTGGCTTCACCGGTGAAAAAGGAGATCAGAAAGGCCACCCGCTCAGCGCCCCCGGGGAAATGATCCTCATGGTCGGCTATGAAAGTCTCTAAGCTGCATCAAGAATTCAGCCAGGTAGACTGGGGTACGCCCGAAAAAGGGTCCTGCTAGTACCGTACATACCCGCCTTGGCCGTTA